TTAAATTAATTTACTATTTTAATGTGGCTGCCAGGGTATTTAAAATTGCATGTAACCCACATAATTCTGTTAGAAAGGACTGTACTAAAAGCTTGTGAAGGACCATGGAAAATGACTGGAAACAGGCAACAGCAGTAAGAAAAAGCATTACAAGAGGCCCTTTACCCTCCAATAGGACAGGAGCCAATAAAACTCATGGGTTATAGTTCTAATTTTCTTTTCCCTACTGACAGTGTTTCACAAACTTTCTTGTTCCTCCTATTAAGGTGATTAAGGGCATCTGATGGCATGCTTAACGCTAGGATTCACTAACCAGCATTAAGGCGACTTAGTTGTAAATGGTTCAGTGATTACCTCACGTGATTTCAGAGTCCTTTCCATAACTCACTTTTATCTGTTATAAGATCAATGGTAGTCAACCCATTTAAATTCTTGATGCATTTAACCACCTAATGTCAGAGTGAATATTTCTTTACAGGTTGTTCCACCAGGGCAAGAAAGGGGACTCTCTAGGGTGTGCGATTCTTCATTTCTAAGTTGTTTCAGTTTGTGCCATTTTCCATTACAGGCAGTCCCTTGCTAACAATTTCTTAAGGAACCAATGCTTTTAGAGTCTTTTATAGTAAGAAATTGAGGTACATAAAATGATGCATAATTGGACACTATTATGTGATACACATACTACTGTGTTATTAAGGGAGCTCTGGTAGCCTAGTGGCAAGAAGCTGCACTGCAAAACTGAAGGTACACAGTTAGAGGCCACTGGCTGGGCGGTCTCCTCCCATGTTTTAGCTGCCTCCAGAAACACACCGGAGGCTCAGCTGTGGGTCAGTTCTGACTCTACCTACACAACAACTGTGTTATTATGTTAAAGATGTTCTGGTATGTCTAGAAACATTCCTTTAAAGTTTGGGGTTTTTTTTATGCATAGAAAGATATGTACAAGTATACTATACGTATTTGACTAACTGGTCTACATAAAACTGTACCCAACTGTCGTAGAAATCTGATTTAAAGTATTTAGGAACAGATGTCAGTCTTAATCTAGAGACTGCCTGTAATTAGATCTTAATTGAAGACAAAGAAAGTTTTGGTTTATATAGATATAAACAAAAAATACAATAAAAATCCTTAGACTGGTTGCTCAAGCTTACCCAGAATGATTGATATAACTTAAGTGTATGTGTTTGTGTATTAGAGATTTGGCCCTTATATCTGCTGCTTTTGCTGAAAATTGCATTTTTTTAAAAAAATGAATATAGTTATCTTTCAAGTTATAGTTATTTTTGAAAGATAGGTATTTGAGAATCCAGATAAAAAAGGATTTTGTTTAACGGCAGAGAACTTGAAGTTCTGAGGTAATCAGCATTTGTAGAACTTCATTCTTTCCTGGGCTGCAGGGTTGAACCAAATTGTTTTTCAGGGAAAGTTTTGCTGTCTTTGTCTTTCCTACTTTGCTTTCTTACTGACCAGTGCAGCTTTGAAACAGAAATATTTGTCATTTAGAATATATTACAGAGCCATGTGGGTCAGTGGTTACCTGGTCAGCTGATAATGGAAAGGTTAGCAGTTTGAACCCACTGACTGGCTCCACAGAGGACAGACCTTGTGATCTGCTCCCATAAAGAGTCCAGCCTCGAAAACTGTGAAACATTTCTCTGTCATGTGACATTACTGTATGTCAAAAATCAACTCAGTAGCACCTGAAAACAAAAACATGCTTCTATAATGAATATTTTTTATTTTCTGTCAACCTGAAATGTTTCATTAGCTATGAATATTTTATTAGCTATGAAGATATTCTATGAAGAATATCTGGTAATCAAATTATAAAGCTTTTTTGCTGTAGAATTTTTTGGACCACATTTGCCTAAATCACTTAGAGGTGGGCTAAGTTGTGAAATGTTTGTAAGAGCTTTGGATCTTAAGATTCCACTTTAATGATACATGTGATCTTCTCTTCTACTGATTATATTCTTTCTACAGGTAATTTAGGTTAAGGGGGCATTTCATTGTCAGGAGACTCAGGAGCAATCTAATCTCTAGGCTTTCAAGACATTGAAGTGGAGAGAGGGGGCTAGGGTATATGACTACATTGGAGTCAGTCTGTATGTTTATCTGTACCTTGAGAGCCACCTAGGATATAGGGTGAGAGGGGTCCCGAATGCTGAACTATTGTGACTGGTTAGATGTGAAGGTCATCTGTCTTTGAATGTCTGTGAAGAAATGAAATCATTCTCTTAAACTCTGAGCTTATTGTTGTAAGTAAGACAGGTTATATTTCAGTCTTTGAAGGGGTTTATGTGAGTTTCTGGGTGCAGATTTAACACAGACTTGGAGTTGATATTGAATATCTGTTTGCCCCACTTTTCTCTCCACAGAGAGCCCGTGGTGCCCCTCCACCATGTGTGGCATTTGGGCCCTCTTTGGCAGCGATGAGTGCCTGTCAGTTCAGTGTCTGAGTGCTATGAAGATTGCACACAGGGGCCCAGATGCCTTTCGTTTTGAGAATGTCAATGGCTACACCAACTGCTGCTTTGGATTTCATCGGTTGGCAGTGGTTGACCCACTGTTTGGAATGCAGCCAATTCGCCTGAAGAAATACCCTTACTTGTGGCTCTGTTACAATGGTGAAATCTACAACCATAAAGAGGTAAACCAGTTGAGACCAGAAGATAGCTGGATGTGATTAAACCTCCAGCTGCTTAGTGATGATAGCATGCATTTTTCATGATGCTTTTTACTTTCCATATTCGTTATTAGCTCCCACTGTATAGCCAGGACATCTATGTAACAACAGGTAAAATATCTAAGACACAGTAAGTCAATAAAAATGACAACTAGGATTTCTGTTTATTGACTCCTGATGGAATTTTGTGTATAGATGTATGTTGCATGTGTAATTTACGTGTTAGTTACGGTGGTAAATAAAAGGCAAGCCTGCACACTATGGCATCTGTTAGGTAGGGAAGCAGACAAAAAAAAAGAGAATTCTTGAACATTATTGTCAGTGTCCTGTAAAAATAAACATGAGACTGATGGAAACGAAAGGCCTGATTTCAGAAAGGGTGGCCAGAGAAGGCCGCTTGAAGTGGCACTTGAACTGAGACCTCATGGGCATGGATCAGTTAACAGTGTAGTGTTGTATGTTGTTGAGTTAGAACTAACTCATAACTGACCCTCCCGCAGGTTTTCAGATGCTGTAATTCACTTGAGAGGAAATTGTGCATTTTTCTCCTGAGCAGCTGGTGGATTCTAACTGCCTTTGGCTTGGCAGCTCAACTCCTTACCCACTAGGCCACCAGAGTTCCCTAATTGTAAATTAGGAAGGAAAAACAATGTTCTCTAGACTGGTAGATTCGAACTGCCTTCCTTTGGGTTGACAGTGCAACTCTTTGCCAGTAATTCCACAGAAAAAGAGTAAGTGTAGAAATCCCCAGGGTTGGAAAGGAGCCCAGAAATGGAAGTTAAATAATAAGGAAAAGAAGCAGGTGGAGGGGTTGGAAAAAATAGGCAGGGCCAGATTAGTAAGGACATAGAAGTCATAGTATACTGTTGGAATCTTTGAAGAGCAGTGGCTTTTTGAAGATTTTAAGGCAAGGGTAGAATTTAAGTGGGAGTGGCATCCACGACCTAAATAACATGCCTCTGGAAACTATGAACTTTGGTAAATATCGATAGTTGTAGAGGAGCTTCAGGTCTTTTGTTCATAGGGTCGCTAGGAGTCGTGCTCAACTCGAAGGCAATAAAAAACAACAATATTATCAGAAAACCATACTTCTGCCTGCCTGCCAAGAGAAAGCTAGTCTTAGAGTTGGGTTGGAATGGAAGAGCAGTTATTTTCTTATATATTGCTGTGTAGGAGATGGCATCTTTGGTGGCCTGGTAGTAAAAAGTTGCTATGCAGTTCCCAAAGGCATCCACCAGCTTGCTCCGAGGGAGAAGGAGCAGTTTGTCTGCCTCTGAAAGCCTGACAGAGTGTCAGCGATGGATTGGTTCTGCCTTGATGCTATACAACAACACTATATAGGACATAAGGAGTATGAGCTTCCCACATCTGTCTTCCCACCTTGAAAGTTTCAAGGCCTTCTATAGCGGAGAAATAAGACAGTAGAATATGTGATATTGTTCCATAATATCTTCTCTTGTCCCAGTTTTCCAGCCTGGTGATTGTATCCCGGATTAATTGGCTAGATATTGTCGAGGTTCCAGAAAGGAGCAAGTCTTTTTAATAGATTGCAGGGTTTAAGGATAATAAATCTCCGCTATAGATTGTATGGACAGGTAAGCAACATCAAACAACTTCAATTTGGTAAGGAAGTTTTATCAAACCTAAAAAGAAAACTCTTTTTTAAAAAGAGTTCTAGGAAGAATGATACTTTTTTTTTTTTTACCTATTAATGGCAAACACCCTTTTTAATTTATTTATTTATTTATTTTTTTTACAGAGGTTTTGGATTTCCATTCATTCATTGCCACAATTTTCTCCCTGCCCACCCCTCACCACCAGCTTGCTTCCCCCTCCGAAGAGAGGAAAAAAAAAAAGAAAGAAAAAAAATTCCTTCATTAGTGTACAATTCCCACGTCCCTTCCCCCCACCCCCCATCCCGAGTAGTGAATTGAAAAGTGATTTTGTTTATTAAGGCCACTGGGAATGGTTAATGTGATTGTTGTTATGTGCCATTGAGTTCAAACCAACACAAAGCTGACCTTCGAGAAGGTTTTCAGAGGCTGTAAATTGCATGGGAGGAGACTGCTTGCTCATCTTTGTCCTTTGGAACCTTTGGATTTGCAGTGTAATTAATTCCTTAACCAGTAGACTACCAGATGAGTAAAGTGTAAAGGAACCTCTTAAGGATGTTTCATATACAAGTGGGGGGACTCAAGGAGCAGACTCAGTGTTTTCCTGGAGGATCACCCTCCTCCCTACGTGGCAGAGCTCAAAGCAGAATCTTAAGAGAACAAAAAGAACTGAGTCATCTCCATTGATAACAGGATGTCCTCCTTCCATTGTTAACAGGATGTTATTATCTTGAATTGTGTGTTCACAGAGTGATTTTACATACTGGCCATCAGAGTTGCCAGATTAACTCAGAAGGGTCCAACCCACTTTTTCCTTCAGTTAATCTTTTAGGGATTCTTCCCTTCCAAGTTTTCAGGGAAACTTGGACTCCTGTGGGTGTTGGAGTTGTTTCTCCACTCACAGGTGCTAGCAGGACCTTGTTCCTATAAGTCTTAATAGCCTCCTGTCTTGGAGTAATAAAATGCTGAAGAGAATTGTTTTACTTATGTGATTGGGAAAGGCTTCCTGTGTGTCTGTCAAAAGAACAGTATGTCCTGGAGAAGGTATAGCCCTTGTGCTCCTTGGAGGCAAGGATGGCAAAGCTTTGTCTCATATTTTGTGCATGTTGTTAGGGAGGACCAGGTGTTTGGAAAAGGTGGTGGGTCAGTGAAAGAGAGGAAGACCCTCAACGAGATAGATGGATACAGTGTATCAGTGGATTAAGTATATTGGAGATGATAAGGATAGGACAGGGTTCAGATTCATTGTTCATAGGGTACATCATAGTCTACTCCACAGCACCTAGCAACAACAAACTTCAGGGAGGTTTAGGGGCTTCCTTAATCTATAGGAAGGCTGGGGAGCAGTGGCTCCTGTGTCTTCTTGGCATCTTGGTACAATTTAGCAAGAGCTTATTTGAGTCTCATTTGTGCCCTCAACTACCTGAAGACTGAGAAGCTCATGGGGTACGAAGCTTGTAGGAGACCCCTTGGGTTTCAGTGACAGTGAGTGTAAGCCCATTGTAGCTTTGAATAAGCTTGTGAACCCCAAGCCTTGGAATGATTCCCTTAAGAAATGATTTGCATACTTCACCTGTTTTAAAAGTTCTGGTGGGATAAGCTTCTGCTCACCCAGTAAAAGGGTACAATAAGTAACAGATATTTAACCCCTCATCATGGGGCCCTGAGCATGAAATCTTCCTGCCAATCTTTTCGGAATCACTACTTAAATGTTATATAGGCTCAACTAGAGGATGAGAGATGGGTGTATGGGGGTTGTTTCCCAGGCACATTTCACATTTATATTGGTTTACATAAAAACGTTATATACATTGTGCTTCATGCATTCCTCCATTCACATTTTTTAACCACCTGCTTAATAACACTTATCACTATTCCCCCCTCTTTAAAAAAATCATGGCTAATGCTGCTTGCTCTTAATGACTTGCTTCATAAAAGCTCCTAACTACTTGATAACAAGATAGAGCTGGGGCTGAGAAGCTTGCTCACCTTACCAGCTAGCTACCCGCCTGAAGCTTGATGGCACTTGAGATGCTTAGCTTCCTCCTTTTTTACAATTTTTCAGGGGCTTTATTTCTGAGAGGCCAAGGATATGGTATGAGATAGCTTTTCTTCTGCTCAAGCATCTTGTTGGTGGGTGCTATTACATTAGAACTACCTGAACTGACCCTTTTTAAATTTTAGTTCACTGCCGTCAGGCTGATTCTGGCCTAAAGATTTGCTGGTCGCCATCTTCAGGTCCATTTCCATGCTCTAATCTTCTGGGCTACCTCACGGCGGTTCTGGAATAAACAGAAGCTAGTGCCTGGGCTTGGAGCCCTAGCCTAGCCTCCTTAGCCTCCTCTGTCTGGTCCCTGTTAAGAGTGCCGAGGATTTTAAGGCAGGGATAGAATTAAAAGTTCAGACAATATCATGTTTGAAGCTTTCACATAATACTGCTACTGGAATATTTATTGCTTGCATGTTTCCCTTAAGCATAGCCAAAAGCCAAGAAGGTGGCCCAATGCAGTGGAATATAAGAAGTAAGTTCCCCCCAAATTGGAACCACTTTCTAATATGCTGAAAACTTACTCTTGGATTGAGGCTGCATGAAATGATAGAAATTCTTAACCTAAGAAGCTGAGTTTGATAGCATGTGCTTGATAATTTTGGGTTCTTTTATGACACTATCAGCTGGCCTTTCAGTATAGGAACTGACTTTTTACTTGAATGGTATTACTGCTTTTACTCATCATAAAAATTAAATACTTTGCAAGTACTTCTAATCTAAATTTTATTATTCTGGTACTTTTATTCTAAATATATCCTATTTTAAAAAACAAATTTGGTTTCCAGCAATCATCTAAAGCTTTTGCAGTGTGAACAGCTAGAGCTCTTATCTAAAAAAATAGAATGTATGTTTTAGGCCCAAGTGAACTATTCCTGAACTGAATATTCTAGAAGTAATAAAAGAACCAGTGCTTTTTTTTTTACCCTCCTCCTTGGAACCTTACTTTAAAGCTACTGCTATAGGCATAGAAGAATTGAATGTTGTGGTCCACATCCAGGGACCAACAGGTTCATTTTGAAATGTTTCTCTATCATTATGATGGGATAATTTGTCAGGGAATGGTAGCAGATATGGCTGTCCTTTTGCTGTAAGTCTTTAAAGCTGAACTGGAAGAACCTTAGCTGGTAATATATCCCCAAACTGCAAGACAGTGGCAGAAGATAAGTTTTTAAACTCCTGGAACCTGGGCAACCTAGTTTCTTAACTTATGCACATATATCATATGCACACATACACACATGCACACACATATAATACACAGTGTGTATTATATACAGAATTGTTAAGTACCCTTGAGTTTTGGAGCTGACCCTTCAGTGGGTTTTCAGAGACAGTAAATAAATCACATGAGAGAAGATTTCCCATCTTTCTCCCGCAGAGCAACTGGTGGATTTCAACTTTGTTCCTTCAGGTTGGCAGCACAGCTCCTTACCACTGAGCCACTTGTTAATGTGTACTGTCAAGTCGGAATGCACTCAAAGCTGAGCATACAGCAGGTTTTCAGAGACAATAAATTATGAGGAGATGGCCCATCTTTCTCCTGTGAAGCAGCTGGTGAATTCGAGCTGCGTACGTTTGGATATTTATAAAATTCCCTAAGCCACTAGGGCGCTCTGGTGGCCTAGTGGTAATAAGTGGTGCTGCGATCTGGAAAGCACACAGTTTGAATCCACCAGCTACTGCATGGGAGAAGGATGAGCAGTCTCCTCTTATTCGATTAACTGCCTCTGAAAATCTTCTGGAGAGCCAGCTATGGGTCAGTTCCAGTTCAGCAGTACACAGGAACAAGCCACTAGCGCTCCCTATACCATACATAGTATATGTGTATTTGTCCATCTGTTACTTTTATTATTTTGGTACATTGCCTCATTCTTTTTATCAGGATGCAAATGAAGTAGTTACAGGTTTAGCTTTATGTTGTAAAGAATTTGCTGAATGCTAAGTGAGTTCAGATGTGCTGCATTGATGCCATTGTTCTTTGAAATTATTAAAATGTATGGGATGATGTTAGAGCATGAAAGTAAGTAGTAAAGCATCATTGCAATGAACAACTATTAGTGACTACACAGAGGTTCTAATGCTTTTAATTTTGCTGTTGTTTTTTTAAGTTGCAACGCCAGTTTGGATTTGATTACCAGACCAGAGTGGATGGTGAGATTATCCTTCATCTTTATGACAAAGATGGAATTGAGCAAACGGTCTCCATGTTGGATGGCGTGTTTGCTTTTATTTTACTGGACACTGCCAATAAAAAAGTATTCCTGGGACGAGATACCTATGGAGTCAGACCTTTGTTTAAAGCCCTGACAGAAGATGGGTTTTTGGCTGTATGTTCAGAAGCTAAAGGTAATGGAAGAATTTTTTTGTAGATTTCCACTCTTGTCCTAGTTTGATTATTTTCTTATAAATCATATTTGCATATCTTTGAGGGGCCAATCCAAAATTTTACAGGTGACTTTGTAGGTGAGTCCTGGGCCCTTTTAAAAAAAAGATATTTGACTAGTTTTTATTATTTCTGATAAACCTAAGCTCCAAATATACCTATTAAGTTGTTTTTAAACTAATCTTTTCTATTGCGCAACATTTATACAATATATTTACCGTTTTCTAGAATATACGCCCATCAGCTGTAATCACATTGAACAATTTATGCGATCAGCAACAGTATTCATTTTTTTTTTTAACAGTATTCATTTTTAAAACATTTGAATCACCCCAAACAGAAACTGTATCTATTAAGCAACAACTCCTCATTTCATTTATACTCATATGTTTTCTAGATATTTCTTATAAATGGAATTTTGCAACATTTATCCATTTGCAACTGACTTCATCCAGCATATTTTCAAGGGTCATCCATACTTTAGCATGTGTAAGAATTTAGTTTCTGTTCATAGTTGAATAACATTCCATTTTATGTATATTTCACATTTTGTTTATTCATTTATCTGGGATGGACATATAAGTGGTTGTTTTCTTTGCTATTTTATTATGTGTCGTCAGTATGGAACCAATTCTTAGCTGACCCTCCAGCTGGCTGTCAGAGGCTGTCAGTTGCACAGGAGGAGATTTCCCATCTTTCTCCTAAGGAATAGCTGGCGGATTCAACTCCTTACCTAATAGGGCACCCAGAGCTCCCATAGCTATTGCTGATAAAGCTGCGGTTAGCAATAGTGGAAAAGTAACTGCTTGTAGTCCTGCTTTTAATTCTTTTGGGTAGGTGTGTGCCCAGGAGTGGAATTGCAAAGCTTTGCTATTAAATTTATTCTATTTTTTAATACTAAAATTCTGTAATCCTTAAAGGATAAGAGTGGCATCATATAATTTTTGTTATGTTTCATCTGTCTTGATCCCATGTGTTGTTTCAAGTTTTCCTTTACTTCAGTGTAGTTCTGTGCTGGGGTTATAACATAAGGTAATATTTATTTAACAGTTTTTAACAATAAACTAGAAGGAAGTGGATTTTCTTTTAAACTTTTACCTAAATAGTAATACTGTCCTAAAATCTGCCTTAAGTCTTCTCACTCAATGTTCATTCCTGGTGTTTTCAGAAACACAGTTAAGAGATCCATAGAAGGGGCCTCATGACACTAGTTGCAGTGTGTATGCTGACAGGTACCATATTCCTCTTGGTTTGTTTGTAGCAATTCTAATATCAAATGGCAGAAAATAAAGATGTACAATTACTTTCCTTTTCGGAAACTTAGCAGATAACCCAAGAGAAAAGTAGACTCCTTAGATCTTTTTGTATTCTCTTCAGCCTGAAGATAACTTGATACGAAATTATAATTTCACGTCCAAGTTAGTCTCTGAAATTTCTAGAGTCTGTTTTGGTTTCTGTATCTTTCTTATCACCACCCTTTTCTAGACTCAGTGATCTCATCTAGAATTCTGCAGTGGTTTCCTTTCCTCCTAATATGAAAAACAAACAAACAAAACCCCAACCAGCCTGACCAAATCCTTTCTGCTTTAAACCTTTTAATGACTTTCAGTCTCCAAGGAGCTCTGTGGGCCTACTGTGTTATGATGCCAACCCAAAGGAAAGTGGTTTGAATCCACCAGCTGCTCCTCCAGAGAAAGATAGGCAATCTCTCTCCCCTTCCAAGATTTGTAGTTTCTGAAAACCTGTTGAAGGGTCAGCTATGATGTGATTCTGGTTTGATGGCAGTGAGTTGTCTTCTCTTAATGGAATTGTGAGCCGACTTGGGGTTCACTAACTAGTGAGGATTTGGATCCCTTGTTTGGTCTTTGAGGAATGCAACACTGCACAGTAGAAACTGGGTGAAATAAGTACAGATTGTAAATCGTGAGGACCATTCTGTGTATATAGACCGTTATTGCTTGTAATAAAACATTAATTTTATATTAACAGTCCAGGTGATGTCAGTTTAGTTATACTTTTTTCTGAATGAGAATTTATTCAGAACATTTACATTATGTTTTATCCAAATACAATGTATAAAATGTAGTCAAGGGGGGTACCTGTTGGACTTCTTCATATCTGACTTTAAAATACCTAGGAGTGAGTTGTTTTATTTGTTGAAGATCTGAGGATAGGGATTGGTTTGGGTTTGTCTCTCTCTTTTTTTTTTTTTAAATTTTAATGAAAGTTTACAGGGACTTAGGGTTTTCAGTCATTCATTGTTGCACTTGTCTCCCTGCTGCGCGTGCGCGCGCGCGCGCGCACACACACACACACACACACACACACACACGCAATTTACTCTTCTTGAAAAGTAAAAGAAAAACTCTTTCATTGTTATGCAGTCCCTCCCTCCAAGTCCACTCCACTGTGCAGTCTTTTTGTTCTGGACTCCTGTCATGACAATAATACCCAAAACAGTTCTCTCCCTCATCTGTTTCAATGCAGTATACATTATTCATCCCCTCCTCTGTCTTCCCTCAACCCTGATATCAGTCAGGTCAGTCTTGTTTTACAAGAGTGGCCATATATAGTATTTGTCCATTTGTGACTGAGATATTTCACTCAGCATAATGTCCTCCAGGGTCACCTATTTTGTATAATATTTCATGAGTTACTTGTTTTCAGTGCTGCATAGTATTCCATTGTGTGAATATATCAGAGCTTCTCCATTCATTCATTTGTTGATGGGCACTTGGGTTGTTTCCAGCTCATTGCTATTGCGAACAAAGCCATAATAAACATTGGTGTGCATATATCTGCTTGGGTGGCAATTATGCTTTATTTAGGGTAAATTCCCAGTAATAGAATTACTGGGTCAAATAAGTGCCATACAGCCTTCCATAGTGGTTGCAGGGTGTTGAAAATTCACATAGCAAAACATACACCAATTCAGCAATTTATACACGTGTGACTAAGAGAACAATGTTCAGGACAGATATTCTTCACTAATTAAGCTAAACTAATGTTTATTCAAATACTTTTGGTTGAAAGTATAAAAATTACCTTCAAGGGCCTTTGTTTTGGTGTTCTCAATGACTCCACAATTCTGGGTTCCATGAGAATATGAAAATTCTGATAAGTACTTCCCCCCAGACTGTTTTCTTAAAAGACTTCCAAATGAACAACAAATGACTGGAAAATATCATAACATTGAGTTTTAAGTGTCTATTTGTTTCATAGATGTATCTTAATGTTAATTCTTTTATTATATTTTCATATTTATAACATTTTCTTGATCTGAAATTCTAGGGAAAAGAAATTGATTAGTAAAGAATTGCTTTGAAGCACTGGACATTAGTATTGCCCTGCAGTAGCTCTTTATGTCACTATTACTAGTAGGCAGTCAGCTGGTTTTGGGGTGTTTTTACTTTTCTGGTGTTTTACTTATGTAATGGACATGTATTTGTAACTTTTTTTTTAAAAGGAAACTAGGAATTGATTGGATATTAACCTGTGAAGCTTATTGTGAAGTATCATCATCTAATTTGAATAAAGCTATCTTTATGATTGACTAGAGAGCAACTAACAACTTCTCTTTGATTTGTAGGCCTTGTTAACTTGAAACACTCCATGACTCCATTTTTAAAAGTGGAGCCTTTTCTTCCGGGACACTATGAAGTGTTGGACTTAAAGCCCAGTGGCAAAGTTGTATCTGTGGAAATGGTCAAGTATCATCAATGTCGAGATGAACCCCGGCACGCCCTCTATGACAATGTGGAGAAACTCTTCCCAGGTAACAGGCACCCAGCACCCATTCCCTAGCTCTGTCCCCAGTGAGAAAAAGTGTTACTCTTGCAGCATGTGGATGATTTAAGTTGGAATACCTACTTGTTTAATTTGGAGATTTTGGTGATTCGCTGTTGAGTGAGCTCCACTGCTCAGCAAATACTGTTGAAGATGCAGAAAATTGTGTGCCTTATTTCCAACAGCGAATTTAGCCCGTGCTTGTCTGTCTGCCTTTCATTTATTTCATGCATTTGTAGGTTTTGAGATAGAAACCGTGAAGAACAACCTCAGGATCCTTTTTAACAATGCTGTTAAGAAACGTTTGATGACAGAAAGAAGGATCGGCTGCCTTTTATCAGGTGAAGTCAATTTAAAACTCGATTGTGTTTGGTATATTTGTTTAATATAAGTGATTATATAATAATAATATAAGTGATTTGTAGCTACCTTTGAGGGTTTGATGAAAATATTTCTTAAAAAACACATCTTTTCTTCATTATAGGATGAGAAAGCTCATTTTCTGTAAGCACTCTATATGTCGTCCTATCAAGCATTTGAATTGGTAGACATCTTTAGTGATATAGCACTGCTGGCTAGTATGTTTTTTTTTTTTTTTCTGTTGTGCACTGTTGAGTGAACCGACCTATAACTGACCCTCTGGCAGGTTTTCAGAGGCAGATAATCACAAGAGAGGAGATTGCCTATCTTTCTCCTGTAAGGCAGCTGGTGGATACAGTCATGTGCCTTTGGGATTGCAGTGCAGATTTTTACCATTAGGCTGCCAGAGCTCCCTGCTGGGTAGTAGGTTATTGTTGTTGATATTGTGTACCGTGATGTCAGAACTGGCCCGTAGCTGACTCTCCAGTGGATTTTCAGAGACCGTAAATTGCTCTGAGGGAGATTATCCTTCTCCCGTGGAGCAGTTGGTGGATTCAAACTGTGTGTCTTTGGGATTGTAGCATAGCTTCCTGCCTCTAGGCCACCAAAGCTCTCTGCTGGGGGGTATTAACACCCTCAGTTGCAGACTGAACATTTGGAAGTTTTGAGTTCACCTCAAGGCATCTGTAGTGTCCTGATAAGTAAGGAGTTGTGCTCCCAAACCAAAGGCAGGTTCGAACCAACCAGCTGCTTCTCGGGAGAAGCATGGACAGTCAGTCTCCTTCCTTGTGATTGAAAGCCTCTGAAAACCTGCTGTGAGTTGATTCCTATTCCTTGACACTGAACAACTAGAGAACTCTTGGAAGAAAGGTCTTGTGATCTGTTTCTCGGTGATCAACCTTTGAAAATCCTATACAGCAAAGATGTACTTTGACACATAATGTTGACATGAGTTAAAACCAACATCTGTATTGTTACTCTCAGCTAGGTTATTGATGTAATGGGTGGTCTTTGGAATTCTGTGTCATGGTTTTTACTAATTATGTTGTCCTATCCACTAAGACCACTGTCATCAAGTCAGTTCTGATTCTTAGTGATCCCCCATCATGTTTCTGAATCTTTGAGAATCTTTCTTCTGTGGAGTGGCTGGTGGATTCGGACTGCTGACTTTCAGATTAGCAAGCTAAACGGTCTACATGACAGCACTAGGGCTTCTTACTATTGTCATAGGCATCTTAAAGGAGACAACCAAAAAGAGGAAGACTGCCAACGAGATGGACGGTGTCTGCAACTCGTTCACACACACAGCAGTGACTGGCAAGGAGGCTGAGGAATGGGCAGGGGTGTGCTCTGATAGGGGCATTAGGACTCAGAACTGACCTGGGCCCCTACCAGTAACAGATTACTATAGTTGTATGTTGTGGTTTTCTTTTTTGGAAATTTTGTAACATGTTATCTCAGTGTGTAACAGCAGTACAGATCCTGTCTGTCCTTATTTATGCAAAGTATGTAACCGGACAATTGCTGTTTTGCTCATAGGAGGTTTAGATTCCAGCCTGGTCGCTGCCACCCTGTTGAAGCAGCTAAAAGAGGCCCAAGTTCAGTACCCTCTCCAGACATTTGCAATCGGCATGGAAGATAGTCCTGACTTACAGGCTGCTAGAAAAGTAAGAAACTGTCTGTTAACATGGTTATATGGACTTGTTATTATTAGAATGGAAATGAACAGAATATTTGATACTTGCTGTGTTGATTTGGATAATTGTTTAAATATATTACTATCACTATAATACACTGTACTCTGGTGATGTTTATGTACCAAGACTGATATATTTCTCATAAAATCTCTGTGCCGATTGTTTTGAAAATAAGTATATAGCAGGAGTGGCATCCCCTCCTGAAATAACATGGCTCCAGAAACTGTGAACTTTGATAATTGTTGTGGAGGGGCTTCAGGCCTTTTGCTCATAGGGTTACCTATGAGTCATGCTCGACTCGAAGGCAATCAGCAACAACAGTGATTGAGATTGTAGGTGTTGGGATTAGAGTTCTGTTTTCAAATCCTCACTATTGTGCAGCATCTTTTTTAGGTAGGGGGAGTAGAAATGTCTTTTATGGAATGTTGCTTGTTTATAAAGCTGTATGCTTAGGTCGTAAGCTGGGTGGTGCAATAGTTAAGTAAATGCCAGCCTGCTAAATGAAAGCTTGGTAAAAATCCACTAGCAGCACCACTGGAGAAAATTGCAACAGTCTACTTCCAGTATGAAAGAAAGATTTAGGAGTTAGCTTCTATACAGCCTCATGGGACATTTCTACTCTGCCCTTTAGGGTTGCTATTAATTGGGTTGGCACATGATTTAGGGGTTAAATGCTTTAAGACTGTAAGCAGTGGAGGACCTTATACATAAAACATGAAGGAGACCTGGTTCCTTACCTGAAATAATTTCTATAAAAAGGATAATTGAATTGATTAATGCTGAGAGGATCCACATTTGTCAAAGAAAGAAGACTGAGGCAGAGGCTATTCTATATGGCAATATCATCCTACCTGTAAAATTGGATATTTCAGGGGATTCAGAAGGAGAGTTTAGAGTGGGCCCATGCTAGACTAGAGAGAGATGAGGTGGGGGTGAAGAAGGGGGCTAATTGACTAGAAGGTTGAAGCCTCTGGGTTGGAACGGTATGACAGATTTTTCTGTCAGTGGTTGAATGAGGGACAGGGAGACTGGAGGAAGCAGAGGAAGCTTGCTAGATAGGGCTTTTAAGTAGTTAACCGAGATAATTCATCCCCCTTATTTTGCCGTTATTGTTTAATTTCGAAGTCTGAGTGGTACAAATGGTTGAAGTGCTTAACCACCAACTGGAAGGTGGGTGGTTTGAGCCCACTCAGAGGTGCCTTTGGAGGGAGGCCTGCTGATCTATTTCTGTGGATCCCAGGTCCACTCTGGAGTTACCATGAGTCAGAATCAGCTCTATAGCATCTGACTTGTTATTTATCTGGTTTTGTGAAGGACTATCATGTTTTATTTAAAGGGAAGTTCATCTTTAAATAACAAGTGTGTGAATATTTCATATGTAACCAGGTAGCAAATCATATTGGGAGTGAGCACCATGAGGTCCTCTTTAATTCTGAGGAAGGAATTCAGGCCCTGGATGAAGTCATATTTTCCTTGGAAACTTACGACATCACAACAGTTCGTGCTTCAGTAGGTAAGGTGTTCTATGAGAGTAAAAATGAAAAATGGTTTTGGTGTTTGGTTTCTGTTTTTAGTAACATGGGTTTTTTAAAAACAAAAGTTTCAAAACCACTATTAAAGAGAAACTGCAAGTAAATGACTTTGTTACCAATTGTTTAAGATCATTTGAGACTTTGCTGAATTTTGTTTGGAAGGAAGGGAACAATGATTACATGGTTAAACACTGGGTAGCCTTATTTCTATTAACCCAAAGAATAGACATACATTTTTTGTTTTCTCTTCCTAATTTCTCATTATAAAGCTTTGTGGCCTATAGTCTGAACAAAATGAGATAATAGTTCTATGCTGTAATGTATGTATTCCATAAGAAATACTCATGTTAGATGCATTTTGAATGTTACTCCTTCACAAGACTCCTAAGTCAGTAGTTGTTCTTGACTAGCAAATACTAGTGATTTTACCCCTGGACACTGTCTTGGTTTTCCAGTACTGCTGTAACAAAGCCAGGTCACAAGTGAAAGGCTTTAACAATTGTGTTTGCTCAGTTTAGGAGAGGGGAAGCCCAGCGTCAAGGTGCAGGCTCTGGGAGAGCCTTTCTCTCTCTGCCAGTACTGGAGGAAGGTCTTCTTCATTTCCTTTAGCATCTGTAGCTTGGCTTCCTGGAAATTCTCCATATCTTGGCCTGATGGCTTCCTAACACTTTGTAACCTTCATACGCTCCTGGTCTTCTTTGTTGATGGTGCTCAAGTCTCTCTTCTCACTTCCGCATGCCTTTTATCTCCTGTGAGACAAAAGTGTTAACAGATTATACCCTAGAGAAACACCCTTTCATTAACAGTTTTTGACCTAGTTAAGGGTGATGTATCCTACTTTGAATCCTCTTACACGTGATTGGCTGATTACATTGTGGGGAATGACTGCATTGATACATAGCTGTTTCTAATCATGCCTCATTGACATCTTAGAGGTGAGATTTCCAACACATAGTATAATGTATCATACTGTTAATTTTTGGAGGGCACAATTCATTCTATGAAAGATAGTGAAATTGTGGAAGGAATCCCAAAATCAGATGAAACTGTTGTTGAGCCAATATTTCTCTTTTTTAATAATCCATTAGGACACCATGGCACAGGAGTTGCCCTCAAAGGAGCAAAACATTTGGTTATTAGAAGGAAAGAAAAGTTATAATGGTTTGTGACTTTCCAACAAGCCACAGTACATAAACAGAGTATAATACCAACATTTCATGCCTTGGGAGAATAAGGTCTCAGAGGCTTCTTAATGGAAAGAAATTATGAAGAGATTAGGAAAAAGCACTTGTTTTGTAAAGTGATAAATTTCAGGAACCAATCAGACTTAGGTACTTATACAGTTAATACATTGATTATGGATTATATATACAATTTGGTGGATGGGAAGTGTCATAAAATTTGTAGATAATAGGGTTAATTCTTAGATAATTGAGGTAATTAGATCATTGTTCCATTTGGCAAAAGAAGTGGATACATGATTCTTGATACGTTGTGGGAAGTTTGTGGATTATTTTACTGCCATGGTATAACTTTTGAATTAAGAATGGTTTATTAGTAAAAGGTCATTTTGGAATCTGCACTAATACAAAATCAGATATAAGAGCAAAACTTGTAAATGTTCACAAAGGCCAAAGAAAGGCATTTTATTTATCTATTTCTTTATTTTTTGTAGGAGTTTAGCATTAATAGTATTTTCTTTCCTCATTTAAGGTATGTATTTAATCTCTAAGTATATTCGGAAGAACACAGACAGTGTGGTCATCTTCTCTGGAGAAGGTTCAGATGAACTTACACAAGGTTACATCTATTTTCACAAGGTAAATACTCTGAAATTAAATGACATCAGTTCTAGAGTAAGACAAGTATGCATTATTTGGCTGTATTGCATTTTTTATTATCCTTTCAAGTGTAACAGTCATTGCTTAATCTCTTGAGCAGTATATGGAAAAATCTGATAGTCTCTACTTTACATTTCTTTTGTGGAGAAAGAAGTCTTAATAAGTGTCAAGTAATTTTCATCTTTAAGATCAGTTGAATATCAAAACCACCTTTCTGCTATTTCTTAAACCCTTCTTGGATTATGGTATGCGTAATATGTTGATCTTACTCTCTTGTGAGAGATGACATATTTATGCATCATTTCTTGCCATGTCCAACTCACTCTTTCTCTCCCTTACTTGTTTTTCTTTGTTTTGTACCACATCTTAGGACAGGAATATGTTTAACAGGGAGAAATAAATACTGTGTGTGCCAAGGGATAAAGTGTTTGTGTCTTTTTAACTTCAGCTGTGTCTTTGTAAAATAGGCACCTTCTCCTGAAAAAGCAGAGGAAGAGAGTGAGAGGCTCCTGAAGGAACTCTACTTATTTGATGTTCTCCGTGCAGATCGAACTACCGCTGCCCATGGGTAACTTAAGGTTTTAACAAGTGATTGTAGAAAAGAAAAATTAAGGGCAGAATTATTATTTTTTTAATCTTCTTCTTTTGTCTAGGAGTTACAGTGTGACTTATATTTTTACAGTAAAAGAAGGCAGCTTACCTCTTAACTTTACTCTGAAAGAATGAGACTAAATTAAAAGGGCTGCCTTGGTGATGGTGAAGCCCATAGGCTCTTGTAGTCTGAGTTCTCATCTTTAAAACATAGTGCTCACAGCTGAGCTAAGGGAAAAGAGTTGCAGTAATGTTTTATTAAAATCTTTTTATATCCCCATGGAACAAGTACTGAGTACCTGCCATCTATGTATAATGCTGTGATGACTCCAGGGACAGGGCAGGGAAGATATAAGACATTTCATTAGATTATTAGAAGCTGTGATTCTTTGTTTCGTTTCTGATGGCTAAAGTATTCACTTGTTGGCTGGCCATGATAGAAAATAGAAGTAAATGAAAAACAGATGAGCAACTGACATGCAATATTCTAGTTGCTTTGACTGTGCCAAATTTAGATTAGTAAATAGAACCAGGATTCGGGAGACAGGTGGTAACTGCATTTGATGACACATTGCAGAGTGCTTGTTTATACTATCATCGTGTATAACTCACTAGTTAATAGTGAAACAAATACTAGATTGTCAATAAGACAAGTTGTTGTTCATAAAATAAGAATAGGTTTAACCTGGAAAACATCAGAGTCAGTAAAGTCCAGGGAGGGTACATTGTTAATGATGAGGTTGTGCATGGTTCTTAACCTATTTCAGCTTTGGGAGATAATTGTTTGGCTTTTCACAGATTGAAAAGGAAAAGCAAGAGACAAACTCTCTAGAGTTTTAGTTTCATTCTTTAGATATTGTTGAGGTTTACTGTTGAGTTGGAACCAACTCATAGCTGACCTTCCAGCAGGTATTCAGAGGCAATTTAATCACATAGGAAGTAGATTGCCCATCTCTGATGAATTTGAACACAGATCCTTAGCACTAGGCTACCAGAGCTTTCTGTTTTCATAAGAAATACCCCAGAGCTTCCTTATATGAGTTGATTGTTGTTGTATACAATCAAGTTGGAACCTACCCAGTTGACCCTGTGGAGGGTTCTCAGAGCCAGTTAATTGCATGGGAGAAGATTTCCCATCCTTCTGCCGTAGAGCTGCTGGTGGCCTTGAACTGAGTGCCTTTGGGATCATAGCACAGCTTCTTGCTACTAGGTCACCAGAGTTACAGAAGAGTTGGTTGATAGTATTATTTTTGAAAGAAGATTTTATATTCATTTAACTCTAGAGCAATCACTTAGAATTGTGGAAGTTCATAAATGTAACTTACTTAAACCTGGTTGAATTTCAAAGAAACTGTGAAGCAAAATAAACTACCAGTCACCACATACACGTTTTGATAGAGATTTTCTTTCTTCCTTTGAGCCTTGAGCTGCGAGTTCCTTTCCTGGATCATCGGTTTTCTTCCTATTACTTGTCTCTGCCACCAGAAATGAGGATTCCCAAGGTAGGAGAATTGATTCCAGATAAAAGCTTCTCCCTGGCATCAACTTTTGTTTGTAACTTTTACTGATATGCCTTATGTTTTCACGTCAGCATGGCATAGAGAAACACCTCCTGAGAGAGACATTTGAGGACTCCAACCTGCTACCTAAAGAGATTCTGTGGCGGCCGAAAGAAGCCTTCAGTGATGGAATAACCTCCGTTAAGAATTCCTGGTTTAAGATTTTACAGGACTTTGTTGAACTTCAGGTAGATTGTCTTTTTTTCTTTTTTAATTTATTACTAATTCAATGAAAATTTACAGAGACTTTGGATTTCCATTCACTCATTGTTGCATTTTTCTCCCCTCCCAAACCTCCCCCCTAGTACACTACCCTCTTGGAAAAGTAAAAGAAAAATTCTACACCACTATGCAGCCTTTGCTCTGACCTCCTGTCATGACGAAAATACCTAATCACATACCCCTTTTAAACAGTTTTCTCCCTCATCTGTTTGAATGCCATATACATACTTAAACGCATCTTTCTCAGTCTCCCCCCAACCCTGAGGTCAGTTCTGTTTTACAACAGTGTCTCCATGAAGTATTTGTCCTTTTGTGACTGAGATACTTCACTCAGTGTAATGTCCTCCAAGGTCATCCATTTTGGATAATATTGCATAAGTTCCTTGTTTTTCAGTGCAGCATAGTTAGTATTCCATTGTGTGAATATACCACAACTTCTGTATCCATTCGTTTGTTAATGGGCACTTAGGTTCTTTCCAACTCCTTGCTATTGTGAACAAAGCCGCGATAAACATGGATGTGCATATGTAGATTATCTTTTAAAACATTTTTAAGAATAAAGATTTTGATGCAGAGTTGTAATCAGTATTCATTTAATTTTTATTTTGAATGTTTTTGGATTTGGAGAAGTTCGTTTCCTAATATGAATTAAGTAGTAGGAGTAGTAGCATCTAGAATCAAAAGCTCTGGGAGCCTAGTGGGTAAGGATGTGCACTGTCAACTTAAAGGCAGGTAGTTTGAATCTATCAGTTGCTTCTTGGGAGAAAAGTGGTCATTCCGCCATGTGATTTACAGCCTTTGTAAACCCTCTGGAGGGTCATCTATGAGTCGATTGTGACTCAGCACAGAACAACAGTATCCAAGAGAGGAAATTTACCAATTACCTCTGACCTTCATGTAACACAGTTGAGTACTTCGTAGGTACCAGGTGGTCAGAGCCACAAGTAATAAGCGTATGAACATTTCTTCTAACTGCTTACATCTATGTGTATTATGGGTATTTTTAATTTTCTAAGTGATGGGTGATTTGAAGGGTCACAAACTTGATTTTGCTCTTGTCCTCTTACTCTTCTAGGTTGATGACACAATGATGGCAGCTGCTGCCGAAAAGTATCCCTTCAATACTCCTAAAACTAAAGAAGGCTACTACTACCGTCAGATCTTTGAACGCCACTACCCCGGCAGGGGTGACTGGCTGACCCACTACTGGATGCCCAAGTGGACCAATGCCACTGACCCTTCTGCCCGCACCCTGACCCATTACAAATCAGCCGCGAAAGCCTAGGCACTCTAACGTACCGCTGAAGTCAGTGTTCCTCATGAGGTGCAGAGAGACTGGAGCTGTGTGCTGGGAGCAATGACAGTCAGCCACTCCTGTTTACTTGGGAATGAAAAAAAGAAATAAAAGTCTAAACTTCAAACAGTAATTATTGTTATCGATCTTTCACAGTAGCTGGAAATTGAGCAGTTTTTGCTGCCATGTGGTAGAAGGTGAGCTTAAAAGGGGACACAGTGTGAGTGGGAAGGGCCAGCCCGCTACTGACAGCTGCTTTAGAACACGTTTGACCGTATGCAACTGTCACCTTCTTCCTGTCCTTGCACTTCGTGTGGTCACTAAGGACTCTATCAGGTTTGACCCACGCCCATATTTTTATGACCTCTGTTGTAGTGTAGTGTAATACCATGGACTTCTGATAAAAGGGAAGAGGGTTCTGTGCCTTATTGGGCAAAAACCATTGTAGACAGAAACATTTAACAGAAGATTCTAATTTGAATGCTAATTTGTGGTTTGGGGTGAATTTAAAGGGTAAATTTGGGAATTCTGAAGAGGCATGATGAGAAATGTGAGTGGGTGGAAACTTAGCTGGTACATTCCAAAATGGGGTTTTGAGACTGGAATATGAAATTTAATGTCTTCAGGGAAACTGAAAAAAATATCAGTGCCAGATAATTTATGATGGTCTTATGTTTGTGGGTACTTTCTTCTAGACTAATTTGTTCTTGATCTAGCCTTGCCCAAGCAAGCTAAGTAGTCAAAGAATGCTTTGAGAAGTGGAAGAATTGGTTAGTAACGATTACACACGGTACATTGGAAAATTAAATTGTAATGTATCCCGACGACTCATCCATTTGGTTAGACTCCAAAGACCAGATTTTTATGAAAATATGCACATTCTGTGAAAATGGAGTATGACTACATCACATAACTGCCAAACCACTGTGAAGCCTGGTGCAGACAAGTTGACACATAACCTCAGCTGTCACAGTCAGAATTATTCTCACTTTGGGCTTTGTGTGCTGTTAAAGCACAAAACAGCAGGCGACTAGATTTCCGTTTTTAAGGGCGTGGGTGACAGCTCCAAAATTTTAACCTTCGTGACTGGGAGTTTTTTGTTACCTACCTACCTATCCACCTTCCTGACTCATAACGATTGAGTCAGAGTTGACTCAGCTGACCCTCTAGCAGATTTTCAGAAGCTATAAATTCTAAAGGGGGAGATTGTCCATCTTTCTCCCTTGCAGCCACTGGTAGATTCTAACTGACTCCCTCAGGGTTAGCAGTGCAACTCCTTACCCACTAGGCCACCAGAGTTCCCTTGCTTGGATAACACTCAGGTGTTTAATAACAGTTACTGATCCCCAAAAACCCACTGTTGGGCTAGTTCTGACTTAACAACCTTAAGGTTTCTGAGGCTATAAATCTTTACTGGAAGAGACTGCCTGTCTTTCTCCTGCAGAGCGGCTGGTAGTTCAAACCGCTGATCTTTGTAGTCCAATTTGTAACATGCTACACCACTTAATTTTATAGTGGCAAACTTTGCCTTACAGGTTAATCATAACTGCAATAATTTAACAAATAGAAGCTTCACAATATGTGGTTAGTCCATCTTTTTCTTTTGCAACTAAACAAAAGTCTTGAAAAATGCTATCGCCTGGATCATGTACACATGATTCAAGAGTTTACCTTGGCCATTCTGATAATCCAGTAATAGGTATTTAGTATATAATCCAGATAGCACCACTAGTAGCAAAACAGCTTTTTGAGCTATAAACTGGGAGACTATTAATTTTCATGAACCTTTACAGAGATTTTGGATTTCCATTCATTCATTGTTGCATTTTACTCCCTGTCCACCCCCCACACCCCCGTTCACTCTTCTCTTTGAAAAGTAAAAGAAAAATTCTTTCATTGGTATATGCCCCCCCTCCCAGTACTATATATTTTAAGGAAAATGTTACACTTGTATTGAAAAATGTATATAAAAATTACTTAAACTTCTAATGCTTATAAATTATTTTTAAAACATTTTTCTTGGGGGGAGGGGTGGGCAGGGTGAAAAGTGCAACAATGAATGAATGGAAATCCAAAGTCTCTGTAAATTTTAATTGAAATGAATAATAAAAATTTTTTAGAAAATTTCTTACAACTCTTGCCATAATGACAAATCTGTAAGCAGATTATCTTGGTGGCTGTGAAGCCTCCTTAACTCTTTATGAGGAAAACCTAAAAGGGCATTAATGCAGAGTTGACAGTAGTTCCATCTCAAAGAGCTGTTTTGTTCCGCACTGCCTAAGCCACGAGGCTCACGAGTCCTGTAAGAACACCTTGGAAGCTGTTCTGGGTGATTGTATCCTGCTGCCAAAATGAATTAGAGCTTTTTGACTTACCTTATAAACACTGTAATCATGCCTAGAGTTCTTTGTAATCTGCACAGCTATTGCATTGGGTTTTGGACCCAGAGTAGGATTGTTGGAATTAGTGGAAATAGGCAGGTGAGTATAGGGGACTTCTCAGCCTATATGGGCATTGATTTCGTGCTGTGGATGTTTCTGATGGGGACAGTTCTCCATTGGAGAGTTAGTAGAGGTCAGATGCCTGTTCCTACACTGCCTTTGCTTTTATTAACAAACAATAACCCTTTGAGGTTGAGACTCAGAGACCCTATGGGCAGATTGGACTTTATATTTTCAGAATTTCCTTCATGCTTAGGCCCATTGTTGTAGTCCTTGTCTCAAGTTCATCTTGAGAGTTCTTCTCTGGCTGGCCCTCTGCCTTTCCTAGCAAGATATCTTTCCATGGCTTGCTCCCTCCTGATGTTGCCATGTGCCATTGAGTCACCTGTGACTCTTAGTGACCCTATGTACAATAGGTCTGAACTCTGAACTAGTCTCCCTGTCTCGGACACACCTACACCTTTTACCCTAGTTACTGTGTCAGACCATCTCATCTGGAGTTTTCCTCTCCTGCACTGTTCTTCACCCTTCCAAGTATGATGTCCTTTCTCAAGGACTGGTCCTTCCTAGCCATGTGCTCAAAATATGTGAGATGGAGCTTCAGAATTCTTACCTCCAAGGAGCAGCTTGATTGCACCCTCTCCAAGACAGACCTCTTTGTTCTCTTGGCAGTCCATGATATGTTCACCACTCTTCTCCAGCACCACAACTCAAAGGCATTAATTTTTCTTCCTCATTGTCCAGCTTCCTGATGCATAGCAGGTAATTGCAAAGACTATAGTCTGACTGAGGCATACTTTATTCTTTACACTGATATCATTGCCCTTTAGCATTTTGGACAAGTTCCTGACAGATTTCCCTAATGCAATTTCTCTCTTGATTTCCTGACTGCTGGTGACAAGAGTTAATTTTTAATTTTTTAGACGAGCAAGCTGAAGCTGTTAACCTTAGTCTCTTTGCCTTCTAGCATGGTGCTGTCAGTTGGCTCAGTGGTGAATGTCTTCTTGATTCTATGCTTCAATCCGTGCTGAAGACTACAGTCCTTGACCTGCAGCAAACATTTCAGGTCCTTCTCAGTTTCTGCAAGCAAGATTGTTTCATCTGCATAATATAGGTTGCTGATGAGTCTCTAATCCTAATGCCACATTCCTCCTCATAAAGCCCAGCCTCCCCTGTGATCTGTTCCACAGACGATTGAAAAGACAGGGTGGCAGGATGCATCCCTGAGGCACTCCCTTCTGATTTTGAACCATGCAGTGTTTCCTTGCTCTGTTTGACTGCTTCTTAGTCCAAGTATTGCATGAGCACAATCAGGTATTCTGGGATTCCCCTTCTTAAGATTAGCAACAATAAGTGGTAATGAATGCCTATAAATGGCTGACTTTGAGATTAGCCACAATTTGTTGTGACCCACGCAGTCCAATGCCTTTGCCTAGTCAATGAAACACACTCTCTGGTATTCTGCTTTCAGCCAAGATTATTTAAAGAAGCAAGATTTCATTCTCCCTTTTTTAATGGGTTTGCATAAAATAATGTGTTTTGTATGAGAATTCATATACATTGTGTTTTTTTAAATTGAGCATTGGCTATTATCAACCCTCCTCATCAGGTTCCCATAGCACCTGGCCTCTTCCTTTACCAAACTCCATGTCTTTCCACTAACCTCTGATGTTCTACTGATTCCCATCACCCTTATTTCCTTCCACTTCCCCTTTGTAACAGTTGTGCATGTCCTGTTCCTGCTCCCTAATTGCAATCACCTTATTGTCTTTGTGTTGATTCTCTCAGGTCTTGTCCCTTTGCAGTGTTCATTGTGTGTACATTCTCTGTTGGCTCTCCCCATCCACTCCAGTTGCCTTCCTCTTATCACAATAGTGGTCTTATGAAATATTTGTCCTTTTGTGACTGAGTTATTTCACTCTGCATAATGTCCTGAAGGCTTGTCCAAGTTTTTTTTTATGGATTTGCCCGTGTGTGTTATCAATATCTTGTTCCTTTCTCTTCAGTTTTAAAATCTGTAACTAATACTCATACAAACATTAAGGAATACTGGTAGTATAGAGGTTAGGCACTCATTTGCTAACTAAAAGGTTCAGTGTTTGAGCCCACCAGCTCCTCCTTGGGAGAAAGATGTGGTAGTAGCCTACTTCCTTAGAGTTTACAGTTGTGAAGACTGTAAGGCAGTTCTGTCTTGTCCTGAAGGGTAGCTAAGAGATAGGTTTAAAGGCAATTTTTATTCACCCATTATATAAAAACATCTAAATCGTGCAATTTAGATCTTACCTGAGTTTCCTATCTGCTTTAACGTCCCAGGGAGCTCCAGTACCCTAGTCTGCGTGGTGTTGGTGCTGCTAATGAGAAGTGATACTTTTTGTCAGCAGTTTGAATCCTCCTGAGGCCCCACCACAGATGAAAGGTGAACAGAATCTCCTCCTGTGGGGTTGATAGTCTTGGAAATCCAGATGGTTCCGATTCAGCAGGAATGATAAGAAAAAACAGCTAGACAGTGAATGCCAAAAAACTTTTCATAGCTCTTTTTGCAACTAGGAAACACTTTAAAAATAGGAAAAAAATCATACACTGTCATTGTGTTTGAAAAATTGGTTGTGGCGATAGGAAGTAATTTCAGAGTTAATATACTAGATAAAACCACAAGGTGGCAGCCATGACACATTTTTA